TCTCAAACAAGGCGGGAGTGCCACTAATGCACAAGGGGCTACAGAGAGTGTAAGTAAGAGAAAAGACTGGGTATAGTTGTTGGTGGGGTTGAGGAAAGGATAAAAAGAGGAACAAAGATCAAGGCAACAGAAGATGTAGATTGGTGTTACATTTAAATTTTTGAAGATTAAAAGCAAGTAAGAGGAAGAGAGTTCAACTGTTAGGAAGTGTGAGAGAAGTAGCTGTTGGAGTAGAAGAGGCAGTTATAGTTAACTGTTTTGAAAGTAAAAGAGTGGGACTGAGATGCCAACCTAGTAGCATGCTTAAATTTATGCAGTCAGGGCACCAGTGAAAATAGAACAAATTAGTGCAAAATGCCATAAAAATATCTGTAGAGAAGACAAAGGGAAGCCACATTATGTCGGTGAGAAAGTGATTGGAGTCGAGAACTCAGGTCAGGACTGATCACATTGCATATCTGTCTTTGGATTTTGTTGAGAACCTTGAGATGAACAGTGGGGTCACCAGACCATATATGGCAACAGTATTCCATGCATGGACAAATGGTAAATTTATAGACGTAAAGGATGGACTCAGACGAGAAAAACTTTCTGCTATGACACAGAGAACCAACTTTCCTTACAGTAGATGCAGCTATTGATTCAATGTAGTTGTTCCACCTCAGGTCAGTGGAAAACATAAGACCAAGAAGGCGCAGTGAGGTGCTCTCATGAAGTTGAGTATCAACCATGCTGATAGGAGACCAACAGTCAGGTTAACTTTGTCAGCAATACCGGAGTTACTAAGACAGGAGTAAATGGTAGTGTATATAAGCTGAATGCTGCGGATACCTTAAATTTTAGGGGGAAAAAAATCGCAAACTTTTAAGTGCTCATGTTTGGTTCTTAGGCAAATTGACTAAACTTCACTTGAATATGCTAATTCTAAATCTGTACTCTGAAGGACATGAAGATTTTGACATGCATACAGAGCATATTACTATCCACTTGGACTGATAGAATGCGACGCCATTGTCTGTCTTTTGTGTACATAACTTTCTTGGGTTTCACAGATCTGAGAAACTGTGCATGCCCTTATCTAGCTTAACTCCATAGCACTACAATATTAAATGTAAATTGGGAGGGTATATGCCATCAAATACAGAAGTTTACTTTGTCATTGTTACTGTTTAAATAGTCTAAAATTAGAATCAGTTTCAATGCTTAGTGTGTCCGGTTATCTGTGAGCATGGATGAGATAAAACATTTCTAGAGCATTTGACTTGATTTGGTTGGCAGTTTCAATTTATTTTTTTTTTTATTTTTTAATTCATTTGAGTCGGGTTTTTTTTTTTTTTTTTTTTTTAATTTATTTGAGGTTTTTCATTTTAAATTGAGTTTTTTTTTTTTTTTTTTTTCATTTTAAATGTAAATGATTTTTAAAAAATTTATTTGAGGTTGTTTTTTTGTTTTTTAATTTATTTTTTTCATTCTTTTTTTATTTTTATTTTTTTAATTCTCAGCCCCAATTGAACATTTACAATATATTTTCTTTTGCATTTATTTAACACTTTTAGTCTCATCACAAGCTACTTCAAATCTGGAACATTGCCAAGGACTCCACATTTAATTGCCATTGCACATATGAAGTAGATGTTTGTATTTCTGTGTTGGAACTGAATGTTAACATTTGTATAAAGTGATTCAGCTCCTTGTGAGCAAAAGAACTAAAATGTATTAATACACCTTGATGTATATTTGCTTCCTACACTGACTCAAAACACATTAATTCTAATATCGCAAATGAACTTACTGATCTATTAATGATTATATTGACATGGATTAGGGTTAAAATCTCTCGGTGAAAATAATAAGAGGCAAGGATTCAAATTATAAAACGTTAGTTTTACAATATTTTAACAAATATGATTATTAAAATTAATTTTGAATGAGGGGAAATTTTTTTTTTTTCATCACACTGGGCTTTGTTGATGTCACCATATTTACACATGCACAAGAAATGAAAGATTATATATATATATATATATATATATATATATATATATATATATATATATATATATATATATAGTTGGATTGCTGTGAGTTTGTGACCCTGGGTTTCATGCTATTTATGATTGTCAGACAAACTGATTAATTTTCAAATTTTGGATTTATATATGGTTGCGTATATTGGTGTTTTTTTATGGTATATACATACATATTTTATATATATATATATATATATATATATATATATATGAAAAATAGTATGACAAATTAGCAAAGTTTTTGTGATGAGTTTCATTTGTTAGGATTTCATCAGGCTGGGCTTTGCTGATCTTACCATGTTTACACATGTGCACAAAATGAGAGACACTGCTTGTTTTGAAAGAATATTTTTTTCACTCTAGTATTCTTTTTATTTATTGTATTTGGCTAGATTGAAAAAAATTTTCTTTCAGAAATTTTGAGACAAACACCATCTCTCATTTTGTGTGTATGTGTAGACATGGTGACATCAACAAAGCCTAGTCTGATTTCCAATTTGTTGTACTATTTTTTCTAAATACTATTTGTTGACATATAAAATTATACATTGTTTTATATATATATATATATATATATATATATGAAGAAATTTTGAAAAAACAAACAAAAATCCTTAAATGTAGTTAAATGAAAGAAATGTTGACGTCTGACGTTTCATTTAACTACATTTAAGGATTTTTGTTTGTTTTTTCAAAATTTCTTCATTCTGTCGGATTTATATCCATTTACACTTGCTTATATATATATATATATATATATATATATAAAATTGGTGTATACGGAATGAATTCCAATAACCAACAATTACTATTCTTAAAAGAGTGCTCAATGCAGAGCAGTTATAATTACTTTTTTAAAAAAAAAATTTATAACATAAATATGTTATAAAATCACTACAAAAATAGCCATTTTGTTTCAACAGCCTCGGTGTCTTATCAAGTGATGATGTTGAAAACTTTTTTAACATTCAACATCATCACTTGTTAAGACACTGAGGGTGTTGAAACAAAATGGCTATTTTTGTAGTGATTTTATAACATATTTATGTTTTTTTTTTTTTTAAAAGTTATATATATATATATATATACATATATATATATATAAAGAACAAATAGGAAACTTTTACATTTTTTATGTAAGTGGTAAGTGTACAATGATTCTTGATTGTCTATGTAGGATTCAGATGATAATGTTAGATTGATAAACATTTCCTATTTATTGTTCATCTTATTGTCAAAAATAGATCCATATTTGATCTATCTCTCTCATATATAAAATCGAGGAATTATTCAAATCTCAAGAAAATTCTATCACTTATAAACCTTATGCTTTAATCCAGCTTCTAATGCTCTGGAGGGAGCAGCTTGGTGAAAGAAAATGTTGCTCTTAGGGCGAGTTCCGGTGGGTTATATATCCTTGGATGAGTATCAGCAGTGGAATTAGGAGTAGCTTGCACTATATTGAGTCTAGTTAGTTTCTGCTTTGCTACCAATGCCCATTGGCATGATGCTTGTATTATCTCGTAAAGGCCCAGGTTTGATTCTTGGTAGTGGATATGCACTTCTGATGAGTCTCATAAAAAAAAAATGAAACGGTTGTCCAGTGCTTTCTGTTGAAGATTCTTGTTCTAGACTCAATGAATTATTATGAGACTCCCCCTCCATATCTCTCTCTCTTTCTCTCTCTATATATAGTGATTTTCTAAGCGTAGCTCAGATGTGGCACAAGGCCGAAAGTATGGGGCACCCAGTGAGGATTGAACTCCCTACTCAGTTGTAATAGTTCTAGCGAGACAAGCTTGCTAACCATTACACCACCTCGAGGTGCCCCTTTCTCTCTCTAATATATATATATATATATATATATATATATATATATATATATATATATATATATATATATATATATATATATATATATATATATATATATAGAACACTGAAGTCAACACTCAGAGAAGACAGGCTGTTTCATGCTAGATGCAGTCGTCAGGCTTGATGATTGCATCTAGCATGAAACAGACTGTCACCTCTGAGTGTTCACTTTATATTTACACATGCTCTATCTCTGATATTGAGCACTTTATCCCATTTAGCACACCTTAAGACTATTTCTTCATATATATATATATATATATATATACACACACACACACATAATCCCACCTTCCCCCCCAATTTTTGGGAAATCTCTTTCTTCCCCATTATTTTTGTAACTCTTTTCTTTTATTTTTTCTATCTTCTACCCCTTTTTCTTTTTCCTATGTTTCTTTCTGAATATATTCACTCCCTTATACTTGCCATGTCCGGAATAAGGATAATATTCTAGGTTAAATAAATTATTACCAATGGATTCCTAAGGACTCTACTTTCATTATTATATTTACTTGGTTCTTATATTGAACTCTCTTTGGATTTATATCCTCTTTGGAATTATCCCTACTAATTATCATATATATATATATATATATATATATATATAAAAAGTGGAGACTCTTTCACAGCAAGGAAGGTTATTTTCCCTTTTAAAGGAAAGCATGTCTTCTTTACTCTAGATTATTTTCTGATAAGCTTCTTACCTGCTCATTTTCATATCCAAATGTAAACAAAGCAATTTCTAAAGAATTAATGGATTTATTTTTGATTCAACATTTTTATTACTTCAAACACTATTACGATGTCTACTTCATATTTGAAATAGACACCCCATTTTTATTTATTAGACAGTGCATATTACATCTGTTGGTCTGCTCATTTGAGAAAACTTAGTAAAGAAAATAAGTTTCCTGGTAGGGATTGAACCTGTGTGTAAAAAAATAAAAAAAAATGTGGAAATAAAAAGCAGTCTTTGCAATCTAATTTCATTTTGTAATGGGACCAAGTTGTGTGACAAATATATTAAAGTCAAATTGTTTTATATTTATATATTATATGTATATGTTGAATTTTTCTTTTCTTTTCTTTTTGCAGGAGGCCTTCAGCATGCTGTTAACCTTGGACCAGATAAATTCTGCTGTTACCTTTAATGGCCCCATCAGTTTTAAGGACCAGTTTAAGCTGTTTGGATTTCTTTTAGAAATTTTATCCTTCCACCATCCCTCCCTCTCACTTAGAATATATTAAAACATTTCAGAAGTGTTTGATTTAAATTAGACAAGTTTTTTAGTGACCACTACCTAAATGCCAATAATCCATATTCATTTTGAAAACTCACAAACCCATCTTGTAATTATTATGAAGCAGTTGTTATTAATTTACCTTCTAATTTGCATAAAAAACAAAAACCTTTAATTAAGCGATTAAATTACCTTTAGACAGTTTATTGGGATCTAGTCCTCATCTTCACACATTTTAAATCCTTTTTCTGTTAAAAGGATAAAAAATTTAGATCTTTGCCTGTAAATTTACATATTGTATAGTTTTTCACATAATTTTGTAAAATAACATAAAATATATGAGTTTTAGAGGGCAAGGAAAAAAATTCAAAAAATTTTAGTTATTTTCAAAAACAAACAAAAAAAATCTAGAAACAAGAAACATGCAGGAAACAGATGATAAAAAGGGATCTAAATCCCATATACCCCTGGAAAATTTGTCATTGCAGCAGCAACCCCCATCACTACCATCACCCCCACCCCCTCAGCAGCAGCTATTATTGCAGCAGCATGTACCACAAACACAGCAATCACCCCAACAACAACCAACACCACCTCCACCAGCACTACAGCAGCAGCAGCAGCAAGTACAAATATCTACATCATCTGCATCCTCGTCTGTAAAAGGTGACCAAATCATCACTTTTCCATGGAGCCGGGACCATTCCTCTAACTGCTACCATGGCCTGGACCAAAACGTAAAGCCAGGTGAATACGTCCTTTTGACCCTTTTCATGGAATTCTGCAGCATAACCGAACGCAAAATTGAGCAGGTTCTTGCAGAACCCTTGAAGAATCATTTTTCAAAGTCCCTCCAGAGAAACGAGGACACTCAATTCGACCAGCTTCTTACCTCGCTTGGATGCGTGGCCGAACAGGGACTCCCTTCCCTGCTGCACTCGTTCATTAAATGGTACGAGAAGCAGTCCCTGGTGGATGATGGTCACCTGCTTGATCGGTACAGGATCCGAAGCAAAGGTGAGAAAAATTTTCTCTGTGAGCGCCGAGAGCTAGCTGTAGATTACATGTATTGTCTAGTACTCATTGAAATCTTGCCCAAACTGTCCTACCACCCAGGCCACGACGATCTTGTTGCTTGCATCATCAATCAGAGTTTTCGACATTTCAAATACAAAGATGGATTGCAGGCTAATCCAAACTCTGGAAATATCAAACTGATCTCTAGTCTCTATGCAGAGGTAATTGGTGTTCTTGCTCAATCTCGCTTTCCTCCAATCCGTAAGACATTCCTCAATGAACTAAGAGAGCTCAAGCTCCGTGACCAGACACCTTTCACAGCTCAAAGTGTTATCAGCTTACTGATGGGGCTTAAGTTTTTCCGTGTTAAGATGCACCCCATGGAAGATTTTGAGATGTGTGTTCAGTTTCTCCATGAGCTCGGCCAGTATTTTCTTGAAGTTAAAGACAGAGATATCAAACATGCCTTGGCTATGCTTCTGGTTGAGATCCTTCTTCCGGTGGCTGCACAGGCCAAAAATGAAGTCAATGTTCCAGTTCTGAAAAACTTTGTTGAAATGCTTTACTCAACAACTATTGACATGACGACTAAAAAGAAACACACCTTACATTTATTTCCTCTTGTCACCTGCTTGCTCTGTGTCAGCCAGAAACAGTTCTTCCTCAGCAACTGGCCCTATTTCTTGACAATGTGTTTATCGCAGCTGAAGAACAAAGAAGCAAAGATGTCTCGCGTCGCCCTGGAATCGCTCTATCGTCTCCTCTGGGTCTACATGGTGCGGGTGAAATGCGAAAGCAACACGGCCACTAGGAGCCGATTGCAAAGCATTGTAAACAGCCTGTTCCCCAAGGGCTCAAAGATGGTGACGCCCCGAGACACTCCACTCAACATTTTTGTCAAAATCATCCAGTTCATTGCAAAAGAACGACTCGACTTTGCCATGAAGGAGATCATCTTTGATCTGCTCTGCGTTGGCCGGCCGATCAAATTCCTTACTCCCGAGCGTATGAGCATTGGTCTTCGAGCCTTTCTGGTCATTGCAGACAGCCTGCAGCAAAAAGACGGTGATCCACCCATGCCCCAGTCAGCAGCAACCCTACCCTCTGGGAGCACAGTTCGAATCAAGAGAACCTTCTTAAACAAGTTACTCAGTGAAGAGACAGCTAAAGATATTGGACTTGCATGCTACTATCCACACATTCTGAAGACGTTTGACTCCATCCTTCGGGCTCTCGACCTCCAAGTTGGGCGCACACTCCTTCACACGAATTCTGAGAACACAGGCAAAGAAGTTGATGAGATTATCACCAGTGACCGCAAACCAAAAATCGACCTCTTCCGCACTTGTATTGCTGCCATTCCTCGACTAATTCCAGAAAATATGAGCAGCCTTGATCTTGTCGATCTCCTAACTCGTCTCACAGTGCATATTGATGATGAATTGAAAGGTTTGGCCTTCCAAGCTCTACAGAACCTTATGCATGAATCTCAGGCATTCAAAGAACAAGTCATTCGTGGCTTTGTACAATTTATTCAGCGTGATGTCAGTGACACTACCCCACAGCTTCTTGACGGCGTATTAAGAATGCTGGTGCAATTACTTGTCCAGTGGAAAAGCAATCCAACACCCCAGCAGCAACAACAGCAACAGCAACAACAAAATCTGGTTCCACCAACTGGGCAGACCACCAGCAAAACTGATGCCGCGGAAGGTAACGCTGTCCCTCGAGATTTAGTTGAACTTTCTGTCTTGCATGAAGTTGAGGGCCTTGCCCTTGTCATGCTTTGCAGCATTCGTCTGGTGACACGGAAACTTGCCCTGCTGCTGTTAAAGGAAGTCCGCACTATCTTTTCAAGTTGCCTGCACAATTCTTCAACCACCTGTGTTAATTGTAGTAGTGTACCACAGCATAACCACCACCTTCACAACAATCACCACCACCACCAACAACAACAACAACAACAGCAGCAGCAGCAGACACAAAAAAAACGATACAACAAAACCTGCCTTCTTGATGTTATGGATAAAATGTGCCCAGTTGTCATGACTAGCATGTTACAGTATCTGCCAGCTGATGAAAAAGCTGCCCTTATTGCTGGCACAGTCATTGACTTACAGTGGGTGTTGGACCGAGCAGCGAATGTCTGGCTAATGGCTGGCAGTCAGGATAGCCAGGCAATCCAACCATTAATGGTCAATTCAACATTCAGCCAACCAGATCCTTGGATCCGGTGTCTTGTCGTACTGGTTGCTTCTGACGAAGCATCTAAACTGTGTGTTCATGCCATTAACTCTGCCTGGACAATTATATACACACGTTTGCAGACCTTGTTTCCTCTTGTCGATCCAAGTGCACAAACCAACGAATATCGGTCTTCAATATTAAGATCTGGAAGCAAGAAGGTGACCAATGATTGCGACCTATACATGCACCTTTGGCACAATTATGTAATACTTGCTTGTTGCCTGGCACAACTAGAAGCAGTGCTGCCACACAGGCGGTGCGCATCTCCAGAGTTGGGAATCAGCCCAGAGAACTTTGCAGCATCATCATCGTCTTCAGACAAGACTGAGAGCAAGCAGAATGCTCAAAGCGGAAATCTCTTCCGCCTGCTCGTGCCCCTGATAAAATGTGAAAATTCCGACATGAGGGATTCTGTTGTCAATGGGCTTGGTTACAGTAATCCTGCCGTCCTGAAAGATCTTCAAGAAGAGCTGATTCCTTACCTCAAAGAAACAAATGATAAAAAAATTGACAACATCAAGCAGAGGCGGCGCCGTAACAACCTTCGGGCTCAGATGACTCGACTTTTTAAGTTGATGGCAGAGAATGGTGCATTTGGGCCTAACAATATCGGGGTGATTGACCCTGACAAAAACTGTGTGAACTCGTTACTTCTTGATTACATTGACGGTGCCCGCCTGTATTTGGAAGGAGAAAACGAAAGGGACTTAATAAGCTTGCAAGAAGTACGCTTACACTTTAGCAGTTTCTTGCGGCTACTTATCAACAACACTCCCCTGAAGCAAAGGAACACCCTTCTAACAAAGGAAACTCGACACAGCTTGTTCCATCTTCTGGCTAACTGGAGTGGAAGATTTAATTCTTTTTTCCCACACCTTGAACGTAAATTGTCTAAAGACGAAGTAAGTACTGTATTGGAACTGGCAACTGTCAGTGCAATGTCAGCTGTTTTATGTTGTGGGCCGATCTTTGACCCAAATGGTTTAAATGAAGATGGCTACATTTACAGCTGGCTAGACTCACTCCTTAGCTGTGAAGACCTTGAAATGAAGGAACAGATTTTGAGCCTGGCTGAAGAGACGGTCATCTTACTGCTGGACTTTAATCCTGATGTCCAGAGTATGCTTGATTGGGTCATTGACCATTGTTATACAGCTCCCATAGAAGTGGCTGACCGTTGCCTCAATGCCCTTACAGCCGTTTTTGAGACTAAAGAATACTCTTGCGATCTGATTGCCATGTTGAATTTAGTCGTGTTAAATGTCGGAAGCCCCCGTATCCACACTCATGAGACAGCTTTGCAATTACTGCGTCTATTGGACACTTATTTCTTTCAGGACAAACCCGTGTTTGAAGAATCTACACCAGACACAAGTCAACCACCAAACACCTTGAATGACATCTTACTAACGGTTTCTTATGCACAGTCACAAGCCATCCTCTCTGATCAGCTTGTCAAGCTTCATCCAGATTTGACTATGCCTATGTTTTCAGAAATCACCCACCGTTTCCAAACTGCTCGTCCTGCACTGCGGCAAGTTCTGCTCAAATGTCTCCTCCCTTGGCTGCATAATATCGAATTGGTTGACCCTTCAATTCCAGCTGCTAATGCCATGTCTACTTTCCTGACCAGCATTCAAGACAGTCAGGTAGGGAAAGGGACACGGTCCTACCTCGAAGGAGAAGGGTGGGGATCAGCCCAGGCTACCGAGATGGTGCTCAATAACCTGCTGTACATTACTGTCAAGTTTGGTGACTGCCACCCGTCTGAAATTGAAATCTTGTGGGCAGCGTTGGTTAATTGCTGGGCTAATAACTTAAGAGTCGTGGTTCGATATTTGGTGATTGTCACTAACATGTCCCCAAATGTGCTCCTCCCCTATGCTAAAAGGGTCATCAGTTACCTTGGCCGGGCTAAGCCAGAGAAACTTGTTGATGAACTGATGGCAGAGTTGCAAACTGTTGAAACTCTAAACCAAACAATTGAGCGAACACAGACTCCGCCTTTCTACCGGCTATCATCACTAAAGAAAGCTGGCATGAATGCCAACACAACAGATGACGAAAAGCTCGGCTGTAGCCAGGCGGCTGATAACCTACTTGAAAAGGGAGTTCTTCACACAAAGCGACACAGCACTTGTGAAGAGATCACAGCTGAAGGCACACCTTGCACCGATTCGACAACGTTCCTTTGCAGCATTTCCAGTGTGTCCAGTTCCTCGTCTGGGAGTAGCACCCACGATCAAACGGAAGAAGTCTCTGCTAGTCCATCAAACTCTCCCATACCGTACCCGCTCCCAATGCCAGCCTATGGGGGTTATTTTGCTCCAATGTCTGAACTCCTCCCGGATACTTTTGCGCCGACGGTTGGGTTGCATCGTAGCTACCTAGGGGTAATGTTTCTTTCAGATCTTGTTCTAGACGGCTTGGACATTGACTGGACACCTCATTTACCTCTCATTCTCCATATTGTTTTTCTCGGGCTTGACCACATGCGGTCACTTGTTTATGAGCATTGCAAGAAGCTCTTCCTCAATCTGCTCCTCCTCAGTGCAGCTGTACCTGAACACCAATCTATAGCTAGAATCTTGATTTCTCGAATGCCACAGCTAAAACTCCTGAGTGACACTCGAGGTGTATTCACTGCAGACAGGGCACCCCATGAAGATGATACCAATTTCACAGGCACCATGAAAGAGCCAGGCTTAACCTCCATGTCTGATGCACAGAACATGAAAGATTCCACTCAGTTTGAGACTGTTGAACTTTCCATAGAGAGCTTGCTTAACTTTTTGGTAAGAAACTCCGGCAAGCCTTTGTGGAACTATGAAGACATAACGCCAAAGACACTGGCCACAGTCAGCTCGTCGGCCCTAGACTATTTCCTGAAATTAGTTGTGCGGGTCTTTGAAGAATTAGTGCCACTTGCACTTGTCGAACAGCGGTGGTCCCAGATTGCCCTGCAGATGGCTCTGTCGTGTTCTTCCCGGCATTATGCAGGGCGATCATTCCAAGTCCTCCGTGCCTTGCAGGTACGACCTTCCACCCAGATGCTTTCTGATATTTTATCCAGGCTTGTCGAAACTGTGGCTGAACAAGGAGATGACATGCAAGGTTATGTTACGGAGATCATGCTAACCCTAATTGCATCTGTCGACAATCTTGACTTGGAGCTACGCCCCACAGATATGATGCGCGAGCTCTTTTTGTCAACCCCTAACCTAGCAAAGGACTGCCTAAGCGAAGCTATCAAGGGGTCTGTAGTTTCATCTAATCCAGCCCCTGCCCACACACGAAGCACAAGCTATACAGTCTCTGTGTTAACCTCCAGGCTTACATCTTGTATTTCAGCTGGTGGATCTCGTGTTCGTTCACCATTGGACTTGCATCGGTCTGGTCTGGCGAAATCCCATAGTGTCCAATCTTTAAAAAATTTTGACGAGGCAACAGCCGAAGATAAACTGACTATTGTGACGCAGATGTTCTGGATGGCCGTTTCTATGTTGGAATCGGATTATGACTACGAATTCCTTCTTGCCATTAAGCTCTTGGACAAGATATTGAAACACCTCCAGCCAGAAAGACCCGAATGTCGGGAAAAATTGGACAAGATCCTGCAGCAGATTAAATGGCATAACTTTCCAGGTGTGCAGATTCTGTTGCTGAAAGGCTGTACATCCCACACTCTTGCTGAGCCTACATGGTTACTCTTGTCCCAGCTTACACTCTGCATCAATGCCCCCATAATGGACCCAACAGGAGCCCTGGGCTTTCCTATCAATGTTGTTGCTCTTTTGCCCTACCTTGTACACAATTATGAAAATCCCAGCCCTGAGTGCCGTGAAGCTGCTGACCGAATCAGTCAGATGTGTGCCCAGCAGTCCGAGAAACTCCACAATTTGGCTACTGTGATAACACTTTATAGTCGGGGCACATTCAACAAAGACAGCTCCCAGTGGACTAAGTGTGTAGTAAAATATCTGCTTGATGTGTACGCCTGTACTAGTCTGAGCATGATTACTTTCCTGGTTGAAGTTCTCGAACGAGGCCCAACCAATTACCAGCCAGACATCTTACAAATTCTCCATTGCATTGTTCACTATGTTGATTTTAACACCACTTGCAAAAAGGTGCTAAACCAGCAGCTCTTCTGCCCTGTAGCCCGACACACAAAAGGTGTCCACTGGAAGGAAGCACTTAAAATTCTCAAGTTGGCCGTAACTCGTTCGTCTACCCTAGCTGCTGCTTTCCCAAGTTCTGATGCTGGTGGCCCTCCTGGAAACCGCTCATCCTTCGTCGCAGACGTTGGTATTTTCCGCAAGAAAGAGCTCCCAGGACTGACCCTTGAATTCACTGTGGATCTCTCCAACCGAGCACTTATTGGGCACAAATATCTTGGCATTGACCTTTATCCAAAGGAAGAGAGTCGGAATGTCAGCTTACTTTCTATTTCACGGAAACACTCAGGCAACCAAGATTGGGAATCTTCATGGAAAAAGCCCCAAATGTCCCAAACTCGGATCCGAGAGAGGTTGATCAGCTTACTGACCTATTTCGGTCAGCGTATTGGCCTGCCAAAAAGCCCCTCGGTTATTTTCAGTCAATCTAGTGACCAGCAGCATAGTGTTACGTCTAGTGGGGAAGAGACATCTATACCCGAGACGCCGTCCAATGATGCTTTGCTTAGCGACACCAATAGCAGTGATCTCATGATGACATTCAAACGATTTGACTTTTTGGACAACGAACTGGAAAAAGACGAACAAAATGACGATTATTTCTCGTTGGGTGATCGTTGCCAGGCTTTTAATCTCCATACATCTGAGTCTTCGAACAAAGCCGCTTTCGGCAGTTCACCAGAACTCAAACTTCAGGACAGCATTGAAGATCTAAAAGGAATTGTTTCTACAGATAGTGGGTGTCTCCTTGAAGTTTCCACATCTGATGAAGAATCTCAAACACCAGGTGCTGATGATGATGGTATGCCTAGAGACCTTCCATCTAGTAGTTCTGTCACAATGCTTCCTAATGACATTTTGATTGAAAGAGATACCTCAAGTCCTGTTCTGGTTGTAGGCCCAACCAGTTCAAACGAGATTGATTTAGTGGTTCTTAGTTCCAGTACTTCACGGGCCCTCAGTGTAGCTCGTTTAGGTGCTGCTTATTTCACCATTCCACCTGATGAAGCTTGGCAAACCCATCTTCATCAGGTACTCACCAATTCTACTGTTTCACTGACCACTGTGACCTGCCTGATCTTTCCCAGGCTGTACAACGAACACCGCAGATGTGTTGCTAACTTGACTCGTGAAGCATGCACGTATATCGGTGAAAGTGAGAACTTACAGAAACTGACCAATAAATTTCTGCACATTTTAGACACCCTCTTCACCCAAATGGAATGTCCATACATCTTTGCTAAGCCAGATTCGCTCCTGGACAGTAGCATTATCGACCGCCACAAATTTTGTGTGTTGGAGATCCAGGAATGTTTGGACATGTTGAGCATGCGTCTAACCCAAGCAGAGCAGTGTCTAGACACTATGAAGTCCCTCTCGGCTCTTGAGCCTCTGAATGAAATCTCTGGCGCAGCTGCAATGGTGGACGACAGTGGTCTGGATGACCAGAAAGGAGAGATGTGTCGGCAACTGTACAAACTCCTTTTCCAAATGGTGCTTCTGTTTGAAAGTTTCACCAAAGTTGTGGACATCTTCCAGAATTTGAATTTAAATGGTCAAGCGCTGGATATGTCCGGCCAGCTGGTGGTCATGAGGCAAGAACTGACCAACAGCCTGTCGGAACTCCGGACTGGTGACGTGTCTCCTTTGTACTTTGATACTCAGGTTGACTCCAAGCAAGACGCCATGGCCTTTCTTCTGGAGTACTTGCAAGGCAAACAACACATCACTACATTGCAGCTTCTCCGCCATTTTCGCTACCACTGGCCGGACGATGTTTTCGGCACATCAGAAGAGGACGATGTGCTTGCTCTCATGAATATATACTGCAGTTGCGTGTCCCAGACAACAGGCATCTTTGTGCTTGTGCGTCCCGAGTTGGATTTTGGACAGGTCTACAGTTTGCTTATGGACGTGAATCGCCTTTTATCATCGCAGTGGCCTCATCTTGTGTGTCATATTCATAGGAGTGAAGTCAGCATTAAACCTTCTGATTCCAGCACATTTTAAAGACATCACCTTAATTTTTTTTTTTTTTTTTTTTAATGTAAATAATTTGCCCCTTGTGTCAGCCACAGTAGAGCATTTTAAAATTTTTTTTTGGCTATGTATTCCTACCCTGCATACAAACGTTCACAGCACCCTATGTACGCAATGTATATAAACACTTAGAACTGGAAAATCTCCCCCACCTTCATTTCACTAATTCCTCCACCCAAAAAAAAAAAAAGAAAAGACTGACACACCCACAAAACAGTTTTTTTTTTCTTTCATTATGAAGTTGATAAATTTTCTTGGCCTTTAGTAAAATGTTCTCTCCATAATTTTCTGCTAAACTGAGGCCATTTTTTTTTAATGCTCCTCTACCAGTATTATTATTGTATTTATTTAATTTTTGGGTGTTTTTATAGAAATACCTCTACAATGAATAATCATTTTCTTTTCAATTTTTTTTTTTTTTTTTTATCCTCCTACTGAATATGTACTCCAGATAAGGTATATAAGAATTTAAAAAAAAAAAAAAATTATTTTTTTACCTTTAAGAGTGGGGTTCAGTTTTCTATGTAAATTAATTTTAAATTGATCCCTATATGTAAACGATAAATATGCTCATATCACCTGATAAAGCATATTTTTTTTTACTTACTTTCAAGTTAAAAGAAGTTAAAATCCATAATATTCAAAAAGAAAGAGCAGATTTCGAAAATTTAATAAAAGCAAATGCTAAGAGACAGAAACGCATTCAACATATTACCGACAAAAAGAAGCATTTAAACAAGATTGAAAGAAAAATTTTCATTTATTTTAATAACTTTGAACCTTTTCCTATTTAATAATGTGTTGAATGCATTTCTGTTTCTTAGCATTTGTTAAATTTCGAAATTCTTTTTTGAATAACCATGTATATCCTTATTTAGGTTTTGTCTTGTCCTATGTTAAAAAAAAAATGCTTACATGCAAAATTTCAAAGCAGCCACGGAATATGAATGTAAAATAGTGATTCCCCATCTTTTTTGGTTTGCTGCCCCCTTGCGTTCCAAAACACAACCCTAAGCACCCCCCACATCCACCAACAATGTATAGTCAACCTTTCATTGGATTTTCTTGGTGCTAGTATTGCATTTCAAATTGGTGTCTTAGTATTTCCTATGATAATTGTTATATAAACAGGATACACTGTAAAGTGAAGGCAAAACACTTCAGTGGGGGTGTGTGGTGTATATTATGGTTTAGATGTCCCATTGTCACTCTCTGGCTGCCCATTTTTTTTTTCTCAAAGTCCCTGGATCATTCCACCACCACGGTTGTTGGGGCTGTAGCACCCACTTTGGGAATCACTGATGTAAAGCATGTCCTTACAATTTCTCTTTCTTCTTCTTATTATTATTAACCTTTTTTATTTTTATTTTTTTCATCTGGGAATTGGTTTACAATGAATTTACATAGCAAACTGACCCCATCCATCTTAAAATTTAAAAAAGTCAAATTCAAAAGGAGCTTTTCTCATCAGCACTAAAATAATTGTTAAATTTGAGTTTGTACTGTACCATATTTGATAAATTTGCTTTGAGTTACTACAAGAGCAAGAAATAACGGTCTAAAAATGCTATGTAAATTCATTTGAAATTGATCACCCCCCCTCCGTTGTGCAAACCGAAAACAAAAAATGCTCATACCAAATGATAAAGTGTATTATCTACCTTACATTTCAAATAATTTCAAGGTATAATAAAAAAAAACAAACGTTAATATTATTTAAAGCATATTTTACTTAGCTTTTTTTTCTGTGTTGTATTGAAATAATGCTTGCAAACAAAACTTCAAATAATTTCAAAGTAGCCACGAAATATAGATCAATTTACATAACAAACTGAACCCCCTTTTAAAATTTGGAGAATGTGAAAAAAAAAGCAATTTTTTTTTTAACATTCATGATCTGCAGAACTTAATCAGTAGGAAAATGAAAAAAAAAAAAATTTGTAAAATGATTTTTTCGAGAGGTGCATTTCTGTAAAAATGTCTATTTTTTAAAATTATTTTTTTGTTTTCAGTGGTCATATTTTACCCGGCCTCATATTCTGATTGAATTCAAAACTAATTTTAATATTGAGAAGTGAACATTGTCTTCTTGAGAGCAAAGCCAAAGAATACGGTTGTGTTAGAACACCATATCATGCCATGACGAAAGAGAAGTTTGACTCTACACTGGCAGAGATGTGTGACTAATTTGTTTTATTTTCTGCTTTTTTTTTTTTTTTTTTTTTTTAATACATATTTATTTAGATTATGAGGCCAGGTGAAATTTTTTTTATTATTATTTCTGATATGAATAAATACATCTGTACACATGAATATTTAAGTATATAAAATCTACATGTTCATGGTTGATTGAATCTGAGTATAATGTCAGTACTCTTTATTTTTGAATGTGCTTATATGTAATTTGGTTATTTAAATCTCTGTTTTTCACTGCTTAATGATTTTTGGCTTACATCAAATACATTTAAAAAAAAAAAAAATTAAAATTAACCAGAGGTTAAAATTTTACCAAGATTACTCATCCTAGAAAAGTTAAATTTATAAATTTAACTGCTGAAATTTAAATTGAAACATTTTATACAGGCCAGTAATAAGTGCTGCTGAATTTATTTAATTCTGAGAGAAGTTCATGGTCAGTCATAAAATATGTTTAGAAATCATTGTTCATCTGTTTTTAGTTATTTTATTTTTTATTTATTTTCTTCCGGTATTGGGGATAAACTGAATGGGTATATATAGCAAAGAAATTTTATTACTTTAAACATAAATAAAATGGTTATATATAACTAAGGAATAAATATACTGAACTACTTTGTACATTTAATAACCTTACACATATTTGGAGTTTGGTCTGAAATTTCCACTGTTCAATTTGTGTGATTAATAGAATAGCATTGGTTTAAGTGCATTAAGAAGGACTAAGTATATATTTAAAAATGTGTAAAATAAACTTTTTTAAGGAAAACTTATTGATGTATCTATGAATGAAAGGTGAAGTGTTGTAAGAACGTGGATGATTTAGCAATCAGTGTACTTTCTATACATTTTTGCCTCAGTAAATTGCTTTCTATTTTAAAGTAACATTTTTAAATCACTCGTTATTCAACACATCAGTTGCTCACTAATGAATATGACCATAACTTCAATTTAAAAAATCTTATTTTAATTAAAATAGAAAATAAAAGGTGAAAGTGTATAAAAAGTCAGTGATTGTTGATCTATCTATGTAAATATATAGCATACATGTGGCTAAGAAATGTACTTAAATGCTTAGTCGTTGATTAACCATTTTCGTTATTATGTACAATTTTTTTTTTTTTTTTAACAAGTACTTTTACATTTTTGTTGTACTTTATCATATTTTCTTGGTGGATGTACTCTTTGGTTTTCAAAGAAGTGACTTCAGACTTGAATTTATATCCCTTAGCAAGGGAGATAAACATGCCCCTTAGCAAGGGAGATAACACTCTTGTAGCACCATCTCAACATCTTGAGTTGCCAAAATGAGAATAAATTGGATTGAAGATAATAGGAGTAGGATGAGAGATGAATTGCCTTTGCAATAGCAGCTTCTGTGAACAAAGTGGGATAAGGATTGCTACATGACATAGCAAGCTTTTGTGGTATATCTGAAGCTGCTTTGTTCCAAATTCCTCTAATTTGATCATGAAATTTTATTGTCCAAAATTGATAAATGCAGCGGAAACAAAGATATCAGTTTATAAAAATTATGGAGCCATTATTTTTTTATTTTTGTGTGAAATCCAGTTTTAAGATTTTAAAACTTCCAAGACTTTGTCAGTCTGTAAAAAAAAAAAAATATGGACATGGTAAATGCACAAACCTACATAATCATACTAGGAATAAAAGTAGAATGTTGAAGATGCTTAATATTTGATAGTTTTCTGTATTTGGATAACTGATTTCTTGGCCACGTATTCTTTTATCTTTCATAACTGGAAAAGATAAGATTAAAAAACGCATAAAACATTAAACACTTTATTTTGATATTATTTCAAATATTTTTTACAATTAAGGGTTGCCAGAATTGGCTCCTTTTGAAAGTCCAGCACAACTAGATTTTGAATTTAGACTTTTGAAGCAAGCTGGAATAACTTGGGCTACTAATGAGAAGAAAGTTGATTCAAGATTTAGGGTGCTACTGAAAGGGGAAAATAGTCTGCTCATAAAAATAGGGAACTTTTTTTTTTTTTTTTTTTTGTATGAATTCCTATTTGATGATCTTAAAGCATCAAGACTTTGTCTATACAAAAATGTATTATTATGCTCAATGGTGGTATATGCTCAAATTTTGAAAACAGGTCTACAAAAAAATAATAGGGACAGAAATACACATTTCTTATAGTTTGATTTTTGTTATTCTATGATTATACACTATTTTATGATACTTATAATCAAAAACAGAAAATGGCATGTGTACAAAGAATTTTTTTTTTTTTATAAAGATGTTAGGGAAATTTTGTCACAATTTTATGATTTTTGTTTCTACTGTAGATGTGAAGAGAAGTTCATGGTCAGTCATTGTATTTAATCCTTCATATTTAATATTACGTTCTATTAACGTATTTTGTCAATTCTCCTTGGCCAGTGTGATTGTGTGCAATCCCAGGGCTCTTATTCAGACATGGACCTTACATTCTCATCTATGATGTTTTGGAGTTTCTTCACTCAGCATTGAGATGGGGGATGTTTATATACTTATCTCTGTCACGCAGCTTGTTCCCATGCTTGCAACCCAAATGCAGCTGGTCTATTCATGCAGTTCTGCACTTTTCCACTAGAACACCTCAGGTCAACTCAGCACCTGTCTCCCTTTATAGTCTGGTGTGATATTGAGTGCAAAGTCTGTTCTAGCATGATCTGTGGTGACACATGCTACACTTATAATGCTGTCTGTATGTATGTGTTGCTTAGCATATCACAGCAAAAATGGTACATCATAGCACAATGTTTGTTAGTGCAGTACCATTAAAAAGCTAATAGAATAGAGCAATTTAAATGAAGCCACTGATTTCAAAGTAATTTTTAATCAAGTATATACTGGCTCACGAGAAATAAAATGCTACACACCATAACACAATTTGTATTTGCACAATACTATTAAAATGCTTTAAATATGATAAAGTAAAATCTAATCAGGTCACTGGTTTCTGAATAATTAACAGAAAAAAGTTTGTTTAATGGAGATACACTAGATCTATTAACTGCTTATTAAAGAGTAATGTCCCCTTAGTTTCTTTAAAAAAAGAAAAGAAATAAGAATAAGCAGGGTAGAATCCTTGGTTAGTCTGTACTGTCTTAATCAGATATGGTGGAATATCAGTGACAATGCTTAAATAATCATTAATAATTATGTGATAATTAGCATTTAGAGATTGTTATATTTAGGAATTGACATCTAGTGGGGCCATTAAAGGCAGTAATTATAAAATTGTTGTAGATGGGGAAAAAATAATTATATTTATTTTATAGAGAGTGAGAAATGATTTTAGCAGCTGGCAGCAAAATCACTTGATAGATGTAAGCTAATGTTATGAGGTGAGATGCCATCATTATTTTAGGAAGTTGTATAACAATAATAAGCATTATCATTAGAGTAGAATTATCAGAACTTTTTTCTTTATCCTGTCTCTTCAGGGTATAAAAGATTGTAGCTCTCAGAAGATTCCTTTTCTTTATTATCTGTGAATTGCCATGAATGTTTGAGAAAGATAGTGGAGTGGTTTCCCATTGCTTTTTCCAGGGTTTGTAATTCAGTTTTCCTTCTACCTTTAGGACGTATGCGATCATGGCTCTCCCCAGATTCCTTTTCTTTATTATCTGTGAATTGAGATGACTTCTTTGAAAGTTAATGGCTTCCTGTTGCCTTCTCTACAGTTCTTGAATCTAGAGTTATCCTTCAAGACTGGTTGCCAACCAGGGCTAGATATCTCAGTCTACCTTGTTATTTAATCCATGGCTTGGAATAAGAGAGAGGCATAAATTCATCCCAAAATTATTTTTGTGAAAATGAGATCAACAGCCAAGACAGTAATTTAAGCTTTTTTTCCGTTTCTGTTATTCCTTTGTATACACTCTGTGATAAAAAAAAAAAAAGTCTCCTCTCACCTATTTCTGCAGTAATCACTCACCTCCCTATCTTACCCATTCTTTCCTCCTGATTCATAGTTCTCATCATATTTCTTTCTAGCCAGGTTACTAATCAAGGCTAGATATCTCGGTCTACCCTGTTTATTTAATCCATAGCTGGGAATAAGTGAGGAGGTGAATTCATCCCAAAATTATATTTGTGAGCGCAACGTCCTAGACTATAATTTATTTTTTTTAATCGCCTGCTGTATTCCTTTGGTAATCAAGGTCTCCCCTTCACCTATTTCTACAGTAATCACCCACCTCTCTATCATTTCACTTCATAGCTCTCATTAGATTTCTTTATTATCTTTGAATTGTCATGACTTCTTGGGAAAACTAATGGAGTCGTTTTCCATTTAGTATGGTTTTGGGATTCAGTTGTCTTTCTAGACTGGTTGCCAAGCAAGGCTAGAGATCCCAATCTATCCTGCTATTTAACCCCTAGCTGGACAAGGAGGAAAGAAATGGATTCATGCCTTTTTCAAGAGCAGTTGTACAAAAAAGTGAATGTGACAGACAAGGCCAGAATTTGAACCCCTCTCAATGATTTTACTTCCTGTACTGATAAATGTTATGCCATCTGCACACTTATAGTTATATTCCTCCCTCTCCTACACACACTCCTGAAATTAAATGTTGCACAATCTTCTTCCCTTCACATTTGTTAAGTTACAATAGCAGCTTCTATGACCAAAGTGGGATAAGGATTGCTACATAACATAGCAAGCTCCACTGGTATATCTGAAACTACTTTATTCCAGTTACATGATTTGAAGATTTTATTGGCCATAGATGACAAAATACAGCTGAAAGATATATAGGAATTTAAAAAAAATTTGGAGCTGTTATCTTTTATTGTTGTAGGAAATCCAGTTTTGAGATTTTAAAGCATCAAGAATTTGTCAGTCTGTATATAAAAAAAAAACAAAAACATAGAGGTGATAAATGTACAAATTTATGAAATCATACAAGCAATAAAAATTGACTGCTGAAGATGGTGTATTATCCAACAATTTGCTGTTGACTACTTTTTTCATCCATCTTTAATACCTGCAAAGATAAGATTCAAAAAGCATAAAACATTGAACAGTTTTTGATATTATTTTGAATATTTTCTGTTGTGCAGGATTGCTTGACTGGACTACTTTTGAAAGTCCAGTGTAACTAAATTTGAACTAAGCTAATTTTAAAGTAAGCAGGACTAACCTGGGTTACTTATGAAAAGAAAGCCAATTTGGAATTTAGTAGTGTCAGGATTTCAAATGTAAACCCATTTGCTATTTGTTGCCCAATCTGCTAACTCTGCATTTTTAGATTAAAAAAAAAGTTGGGAATCAGTTTTCTTTTACAGCAAAATTATAAAGAGATCCCGCTCCCCCCCCTTTTATAATAGAAGTTACGATACATTTCTTTATTCTGGGAAACATTTGTAGACAGCATTGCTAAATTAGGAGCACAGTTTGATTTTGTGACTTTTAGGACCTACCTCTAAAATTAGGTATGTTAAATTGGATTATGAATAAGAAAAAAAATTCAAAATTTAGTTGCGACACTAGCACTTTTAGCTCAGTTTGGTAACTGGATTGTAGATTTCCAATCTTTGATGAATTAACAAGTAACTATTAAATGGGGGATCAGTTGTTTTTTATAGCTATATTATAAATTGATCCCCCACTTTTGTCACTCAAGGTTCAATATATTTCTCTACTCTAGAAATCATAATTGTTGGCAGGGTTTCCAGATTGGACTAAATTTAGAGGCCCAGCATTATGTTGCATTCTATGTCATCTCTGGGTCCTCACGCTACTAGATAAAATGGTATTAACAAAAAGGATGATTTATTTGTTTTTATTAGAAGAGAAGGTCAGACATAGAAGCTTCAATTCTAAGAGGCAATAACTGGAATCACTCTGCATGTGGTATTAGACTGTCGAACATGGGTGTGGGAAGCATATTGAAGCTTCAAAATTCTTGTAACCCTTTGTTGAATTCACACTGTTTTGGATTTATATCATTGTCAGAATATTCCTAGAAGTTATTCCGGCCAATTGCTAACTATTTTGACTTTGGCCTTTGAATTCCATAACAATTGGTAAACTTTAAATTTCTTACAAGTTTTTGGTCTATATTTATTTTTTAAGGGCAACAAAGACCTAATTGTACTAGCAAGTTCATGCTGTACTTGGATAACTGCTTTCTCAACCACATATTCTATCTTTTAATACCTGAAAAAGATAACACATTCTAAAAGAATAAAACATTGAACAGTGTATTTTATTTCAGATATTTTATAAAAAGAAAGATTATAGATTGGTTTGCTTTTGAAAGTTCAGCCACACTAGATTTTAAATTTGGACTTTTGAAGCTACTTTTAAAAGAAGCTGGCCCAACTTGGACTACTAATGAGAAGTCAATTCAAGATTTATGGTATTACTGAGGGGAAACTGATCTGCTCGTAAAAAAAAAAAAAAAATATTGTGACTAATTTTTGCTCATTAGCATTTATTAGACTTGCAGCATTTTCAAAATAAAAAAAAATTTAATTTTTTTCCATTTAGTAACATCAATGCAGTGTCAATTTGATATATATTTTTTTCTTTAAAGAGTTATCCATACCTTGTTTTTATATACAAATGTTAGATATGAAATAGTTTTTTTTTTTGTTTTTTTTTTAATTAAAATTCTAAATAAGTTTTTACAAAAAAAAATTTTCCTTTTATGGAGGTACTTGAATATATGAAGATAATAAAAGATAATGATTTTCCTCCAATTCTTAATGTTATAGTAAAATGTTTTTTTAAAATTTTGAATACACATGAAAATCTCAAAAGTTAGGGTGTAGCTATAGTTTGGCAATATAGTCTAAAATATTGAAGGCATCATTGTGGGTATAATCCCTTTTAGTGCCATCTACACCTGGTGGTATAACAATGTTTAGTGGTCTGGTCCTCAGGGTTTTAGGATGACGTTTTAACCATAGCTAACTCTGCACTGGTTATTGGTCACTGGCTGCTTCGATCCACACCAACTCTGTACACATTGTGTTCTTGATCTCAGAGCAGTGAAAGATTTAATCATAGTAATTGCAGTGCTGCTTTGAGCTGTGGCAAGTGCTACATTAAGGAAAAAAAACATTTTCATGATGAAAAAATAAAAACAAAAGATTCATTGGGTTAATTTTGAATTGGTTTATATAGTTCTTGCTACAACAAAAATGAACTCTTCCTGCATCGATCTTGAGAGTGACTCTCTGCCATGCCTAATAATTTGGGTTCAAAGTTCTTTGGAATCAGGAAATCTGATGGCAGCTGACATGGATTCCAGAGGCTCTCGGTGCAGGGTTCTCAGCCCAAGTCTTCGAGCTCTCAAAGCTATCTGTTTATATGTACTTCAGGCCAAAACTTGTGTGGGGTTGAAGGTTTCTTGGGATTTGTTGATTCTTCAATTTTCACATTAATCCCAATAAGGGTTCTTTGTTCCCTATTTCTGCTTTCTTAATCAACTTTCCAAATTTGGAGAATTATCCACCTTCTCAGGAGTAGTTACAAGGATTGCTCCTACCCTAAACTCCAATCTGCTTCACTTCACATCTCGCACCACCACTCTACACAGGCGGTGCCAAATTCTCTATTTTCGTCCTTCCTTCTCAGCATTCAACCTCAGCCTACCTCCCAGGACAGGCATAACTGTCTTTGTGACAAATCTAATTTTTAAATCATGTGGGTGAAAGAGCATAGTTTCACTCTAGTCATCAATTCTAATTCTCCTGTTTCTTCAAGGAAGAGATAAAATTATCCCTCCATTCTTGGATTTATATCCAGCAAAAACAGAAACCAGATCACCTGCTCGTCAACAAGGTCTGTTTTCATAACTTCAACCCTCAAAAAGGGTTCATTCTTCTTACTAAAATTTCCCAATTTGTTTTTGTCAATGAAAATATAAGCCCTGTCTGTCTCTCCTCTTGTTAATGATATGTGTTTTCTCAATTCCTCACCAAATCTGTTTTTGTCCGCATGCCAGATTCGATAGATAAAAAAAAATAAACTTCATACTGCTAAACCAAAACTACTAATCAAATTGTTTTAATTATTTTTTGTCTAAGAATGTAAATATTTATTATTGCCCAGTGTTTATGCATGAATCTCTGTTTTGCAAAAATTTATTTATAAATATAAAAATCTCTAATCGGGGAAAAAAGAGCATCAGTAATACACACTTATCAATGATGCAGATGTAGTTTCAAATATGACCTTTTGTAAAAAAAAAAAAAAACCTCTAAAAAGTCAGATCAATTTTACTATAAACTGGACACCTTTCTAAAATGATAAAAAAAAAATATTTTTTAATTCTGATAAACGTTAAGGTAGAGGAAGTTCTCATGAATACTAACCAACAAAAATTAGTCAAAAAATACAGATCCAATGTGGTGCTTCTGTTATATATTTTGAAATTCTAGCTAAAATACAAAGAATATGCAGTGTTATCAGCCCTGACCTGGCATCTTGGCTTCAGTCACTTTCTCACTGTTGTAATTTAGCTTCCCTGTCTTTTCTGCAAATATTGTTATGGTTATTATTCTGATGGACTTTCCTCTTTGATAGCTAGATTTTATGAATGTAGATGCAGTACTAGATTAGCAGCAAGTTCTCATCATTTACAGTTGAAATGGCTAGATGTAACATTTTCTTCTATCACACTTCTCTTTTGTGGAACACTCTACTGACTTCTGTCTTTTCTTTAGTCAAGTTTGATGTTCAAAATTTAAATGTCACTGGTTATTTTCTGTTTTCTTAATTCCTGTTCTTTTATTGTTCTCTCTCCTTGATATGTTCTTTTTCTCATATTCTCTCACAGTCAGTAACCCTTTGCATCTTAGTGGCTTTACTGCCTTGTTTGGTATGAAATGATTAAAAACAAAAAAATTTATTTTTATTTATTTTTTTAAAAAACTATTTTCCTTCTATGCATAGTCTTCAGTGTTTATTAATTGTACTGCATGGTGGTGTTTGATTTACTCTTTGCTATTTAA